AACTTACATTCTTTCTAGTGGGGGAGTTGGCAAAGTGTTTCTCTTCGTGTCTGACTCAGAAGTGTAGGGTGTCCGAAAATTCTTAGCGGCAGTAGGGGGCTTTGAATAATATCAGTCGGTAAGACTTGGGTGAAGTAATTTATGGTAGTGGTGGGACTTGGAATTCTTGAGGGATGTATTTTGTGGAGTTCTTATCTGAGAGAGACCGTCTGTTAAGATTTTTTCGAAAATACTAGTGAATGGAAATTAATTAATTTCTGGCTAATTGTCGTGTCGCAATGATTAAGAATTTAAGAAAGGAAAAAGGCATTTTCGCTGTCCAAGAGCTAGTAGACAGTCTAAAGGCAGGAAATAGGCCCATTTTTTTTAGTAACAGTATAGTAACAGTATATGTCTGAAGACAATTAGCTTTTTACAATATATACAATTGAGTAATTACACTATATACAAATCTTTCAACTGACAGTCATCCAACTTATACCGCCTTCTCAGGTTTAGGAATAAATTATCATATCCCTATCAGTTAAATGATTTAGAGTGAGTATTTAACGCCTGCTCTTTTAAGGCAATGGTTGATAAATTGAAAGGGAATTAGATTATTTTTGAGAATTTTGATAAGGATCAAAATTTCGCGTTGTAAATCTATTGTATCTGTGCATATAGTTTTAATTCGTTGTATTTGATTAATTATAGTATTGTTAATTACTTTTTTGGATATGTTGGAGTTCCAATTTATTAATTTGTTAGTATTGAAATTGAAGTTTCTTGTTTTGTCAAAAAGTAAATTTTAAAATTTTAAAATTTTACTTTTTGACAAAACAAGAAACTTCAATTTCAATACTAAATTAATAAATTGGAACTCCAACATATCCAAAAAGTAATTAACAATACTATAATTAATCAAATACAACGAACTAAAACTATATGCACAGATACAATAGATTTACAACGCGAAATTTTGATCCTTATCAAAATTCTCAAAAATAATCTAATTCCCTTTCAATTTATCAACCATTGCCTTAAAAGAGCAGGCGTTAAATACTCACTCTAAATCATTTAACTGATAGGGATATGATAATTTATTCCTAAACCTGAGAAGGCGGTATAAGTTGGATGACTGTCAGTTGAAAGATTTGTATATAGTGTAATTACTCAATTGTATATATTGTAAAAAAGCTAATAGTCTTCAGACATATACTGTTACTATACTGTTACTAAAAAAATGGGCCTATTTCCTGCCTTTAGACTGTCTACTAGCTCTTGGACAGCGAAAATGCCTTTTTCCTTTCTTAAATTCTTAATCATTGCGACACGACAATTAGCCAGAAATTAATTAATTTCCATTCACTAGTATTTTCAAAAAAAATCTTAACAGACGGTCTCTCTCAGATAAGAACTCCACAAAATACATCCCTCAAGAATTCCAAGTCCCACCCACTACCATAAATTACTTCACCCAAATCTTACCGACTGATATTATTCAAAGCCCCTACTGCCGCTAAGAATTTTCGGACACCCTACACTTCTGAGTCAGACACGAAAAGAACACTTTGCCAACTCCCCCACTAGAAAGAATGTAAGTTACTTAATACCATTTCTGGCCTTTATATCTTCATGTACATTCACTGATCTTATTATATTATTTTCTATATTATTTTTATATTATTTTTATGTTTTTTCTTTGATTTGTTTTTACAAAGTTTGCATTATTTATCTTTTTTATAATCTTCTATGTTTATTTCAACTTTACTTTGATTTCGATTTCATAATGACAATTTCCAATGTTTAATTTCTACAAATAATATAGTACTCAAATACATAAAGATGATAGTGTCGGGGACGGTTACTCGAGTTTTACAGGATTTCTCTACAGTAATTGATTTTTACTCCAAATTGAATTGATTAAAATGCTTCATGAGAATAAGTTCTTTGAGTAGCAACTATTCGTGGAAATATTTGGCCTGACTAGAATTGTCGGTTTGGCTTTAACTTATAACTCGAGTGAAGACGAAATCAATTATTGTTCATTGAACGGGAGTTGGTTTGTTCCCCTTGAAAAGTCAACTAATTTCCGATCAATGACAATAATTACATGTTTTAATTTTTCCTTTTACAATTGTAATATTATTCTTCGTGATGATTTAACTCCAGTCCCCGTTAAAACATTATTAACATTTTGCTTTCAAATTACTTCAAAACATCTTTCAAAATATAACTTACCAGTATGGATGCACACTTTTAAAATAATTCTACTTTAATTAAACTTAGGAGATAATATAATCAATTAATCAATACTGTTTTAGGAAATAAATTATTATATATATAAATACATTTTTTAAAATATATTATATATATATATAGTAAAAAATTTATATTTTCACTATTCAAGTATTCACTGTGACAAGTATTCTTATCTTGTCACATGAACAGGCCTCTGTGGAAAGGGGCTTCTCTGTAAATAAAGCAATTGAAATTGAAAATTTAAGTGACTCATCATACATTTTTCAACGCACAGTATTTGATTACATAAAATTTTCTGGAGGTGTTCTTAATATCGAAATTAATAAAGAAATGAGATCAGCAGCAGCTTCTGCAAGAAGTGGAGTTCGTTATTTAGAAGTTCAGTATTTAGAAGAACAAAAATCTTTAACTAAATCTGAAAATTCAAAGAGGAAAAGAAATATTATTGAGGAAGAAATTGATTATATGAAGCAGAAGAAAAATTTCTTCAAAGGGACATTAAAGATATTAATGAAGAAGTAGATGCTTTAGCAGATGAAGCTGAGACCAGCAGGAACATTGATTTGTTTATCAAAGCAAATGAACTTAGAAGAATAGTTAAAGAAAAGGAAATAGACATAAATAAATTAGATGTTAAAATAGCTGAAAAGATTTCAGATTTAAAAAATGCACAAATGTTTTGTATCTTTTATTGTACAGTTTACTATTCTAGTATCTTTCAAAAAACCAAGGAAATAAATTGTATGTTTACAAATCAGTTATTTTAATCTGCAAAATATTCTTACATTGTGATTATAATAGTAGTTGACTGTGTTTAAATAAATATCAAATAAGTTAAATAATAATCATGTAAATCTCTAAATAGTGAGTGACTGTTATTAGTGTAAAATACACTTATACATGTTTTTCAAGAAATTATGTTCCTAATTTAATGTTATCTACTTCATAACTTGTAGGGAGTTAGTTTAATTTTCAAAATTGTTTTATGGTAAGTATTAAATTGAATTTAATAATAGTGCATAATACACACTTCTGTTAGTTTTTTAAAGTGAAATTACAAGCATGAAGTCGGTTGTATGGATAATTGCTTTATTCTATTCATTTTTTTTTTTTTTTTTTTGTTTGCTGATAGGTCCTTAATTTTTCTTTGATGGTCCTTAAAAGTCCTTAATTTTCATGTAAGGAAATGTGTACGAACCCTGTTATACATCGATACTCAGTATATTCATTTCTAGAAAATTCCTCTATTCAAAGTTATGCGATTTCTTTCCCCCTTGTTCCCTTTTTTTCCCCCTTCATGGGATGTTGTGAAAATAGAGACAGTGGTTAAATCATTTAAAAAGTGTGGCATTAGTAATGCATTGGATGGGTACACAGGACAATTTGTTGTGCAAGGACTCAGATGCTGATTTAGAAGAGGTTTCGGTTAATCTTTGAATTATGGTAACTTGGCGTTTTTTTGGCGAAAATTTGGCAACCAACCTTAGTACAGCAACCTGCTAGTTTTTTTTGGGGGGGGGCACCATTTTGTTTTCATGAAGTAAAGGCTTTTTTTTCACTCAACATTTTTTTCCAACAATCTGCTAGCCAAATTACGCTTGTGCTACAACTTTTATGGAACAAAAGTGCTTAATCATGACGAAGATTAGGTGCGAAATTAAGAGAAAGTGCAGAATCGGCCACTGCTTGCCGCATTTTTACGAATTGCACATACACGGTATCATCCATGTACACGTCAACATATTTTCACTTAAAAAAAATCCCAGAATTGCACAAAAATGGCATTGCGCACACTCTTGACTTTATCCATGTACACTGCTAAAGTCCTTGCTAGTAACCTTTATCGTCTTACCAAAATGTCGCCAAACTACCTGTTACCATATTCCAAAGATTAGCCGAGATTTCAAGTGACTCTTCATTTAGCTGTGGAGATGAATGTCTGGGTTGACATAGAAGATTAAAAGTTGTTTTTTCCCAGATAGATTGGGTATTTCTAGAAAGTGTTACTTTGTATGTATATTACTTTATATTCAAAATACTATAAATTTATTTTAGTGATCAGTAATAATGTTTTATCCTTGAAAAATGTGTATAAAAAAGGATGTGCATCTTGTACTGTGGCAAATATGGTATACACCAAGTCCACCAAGAATAAATGTTTAAAATCTATTAAATAGCAGAGCATGACTTTTATATTCCATTAACTTCTAATGAGATTTTAATTCATAACTGATAGGAAGTTATGAATTTCTAACTCTAATCCATAGTTTTTAAACTGTGGGTCGCAGCTCCAATTGGGGTCACTGGACCTGCAGCAGGGAGTCGCCACAAAAACTTAGCAATTTTGATATTTCTTTAACTTATTATAATAATTTTGTAACTACCAAATATTTTTATATAATGTATCTGAAAATAGATAAAGATAAGACAATACAGACAAAGAAAAAATGAAAATCGGTCACGTATCAGTTTTAGTGGTGTGTATTAAATTTTACTTTGTAAAGTCATTAGTTTTTTTTTTTTTTTTTTTTTTGTTTTTTTTGTTTTTTTTTTTTTTTTTTTTGTTTTAAAGATGGAGACGTGAAAAATGAACAGTGCTCTTGCTGGGAGAAAATATAACTTTTTCAGATTTTAGTTATCTGTTTAAATTGTTCATTGACTGTACGTAGGGTGAATCTCAAAGATATGTTGCAAGTTATATTATTAATGGTATTGCACAGTGTTGATGATTTTAATTTCGTTTTTATTTTTAATTAAAGTTTCTGGAACCTGTGTGTCATCAGTTCTTCAGCTTCTACAGATCACGAGAGGAAAATCTTCAGAATTTTGCTCGACAATATATACCTTGTCTTATCGGCCTGTACTTGAGTAGTGTTGCTAAAGGCAATCGAAAAGTAAAAATAAATTATCTCATTCTGTATAATATATTTTACATTTAGATGAAAAGAAAGTAACATTTTCTTTCTCTCTCTTTTTTTTTTTTTTTTTTTTTTTTTTTTTTTTTTTGTAGAATGTGCGGTGTGTTGAAGTGGTATTGCTTGGAATATATAATTTGGTATGTAATGCATTTTTCTTATTGATGACTTTTAAACTGAATTTTTGGCATTTTTTTTAATAATTTATGTTATATTTTTCATTGTAATTTCCTCTTTCAGGAAGTTACAGATTCTTCTGGGAAATCCGCTTGTGTGTCTTTTCGTATCCCATTACTTTCAAAACCTTCCATTTATCATGAAGTAAGCTTTTTTGTTCTTAAAAGTCTTAAATTTTAATTTCTTTAAATTAAAAATATGGTTATTAAAATGTTATCTTAATTTTCAGCCATCAATAAAATTTCTGACTATCCACATCCCCACCAAAAAATCACACAGATGTATTCATGAAGCAAAATAGTATGTCACCAAAATAGTTATATTGCAACCCATAATAATGCCAAATGCATTTAAGTGGCAATCCAGGTATGCAGGCAACACACATTCGTTTAAGTTCATGTGGGTTTGCACTTTGAAATTTAACTGTCATTTCTATGCTGTATGAAAGTTTTAGGGTAGTGCCATTTAGAAAATGGCTCATGCCTTTCATGCAGTAACTTTGCAAAAAATTATTAGCAACGAGTTTGCCAAAGTTGCCAGCAAATTTGCGACTTTGCATTGGTGCTGCGGATAATCAGAAAGTACCATATTTCATAATGGACTTATTTATTGTCTGAATTAGAGACTATCATTTTATGCAGATACCAGATACAGATTCTAAATCATCAGGCAAAAGGTGTATGAGAATAACTCAGCAATAAAGGTTTATAGATATTGATAGCCATTAAACTCTTAGGGAAGTTTGTTAAAATGCCTTCTTGTTTAGTGATCGTAAAAACTTATTCCTGTAAGCATTTTAGATCCCTCGTGCATTATAATGAGTGGAGTTTTAAGAAAATTTTAAAAAAAAAATTAATAGAGGTAGGTGTGGGTATTTTCATTTATGCCGTTTTTAGGATTTTCTGACTCTAAGCCTTTAGGATATGTCTGTTTACTTGGTAATTATTTAATTTGGTACGTACATATTATCTTGTCTACCATAAAACCGTAACTAAGGAGGCTGGCTTAGTGCCAGTTATGGATAATCTTGATGACACAACAAACTCGTAATATCTGTGCTTTCATCTGATACAGTCCTATTTGAATCTCGATAAGCCACATTTTGTTTTTATGATCAGGGGTATAAATTAGCAGTTTGTGTACTTTTTCTTGAATTTTTTTGGAAGGGGGAGAAGATTTGGAACCTGCCCTTTATAGAAAAGAAAGTAATAGATTTATTTTCAAAGTTATGGAATACTACCATAAAAAGTTGTGCGTTAATGGGCATGGTTTGGTCAACAAAACAATAATATATTGGAATAATTACTTTAAATACTACAAGTACATACCTGCAGTTTAAAAGCGACCTTCCAGTAAAAATCGGTGGGCCTAACAAAACAGTGGAATTTAATAAAAGTGTAGTGCATTGAATATTAATTGTTTATTAAATAAAGATGTGGCAGCTATATTAGCATTTCACAGGAACAGTTGGCACAATTTGAATAGATTTTTTCACCATCTTTTCATGGTCAATGAGACAACGTGCAAGTACCTTTAATTTAAAAAAAAAAAAAAAAAATTAATTAGAAAGCTTGTGCCCTTTATTGGTGGAAGAGTAGAGGATGATAGGTTGAAATAACTATCTAAAATGGGATGACAGCTTTAAATTGGGGACTGCTCACTAATTCATCACAAATCTGAAGAAATAAAGCTTAATGATAAAAATACAGTGATATTCTTCCATCGCCATGTAGAACCCAGACAAAGTTTTATTAGAAGTGGTGAAGGACATCACTCATGAAAATCGCATTGAGCAGTTCCAAACATGGCAGATAAGAATGATAAAGCTAAGAAATAGGAAGCAGGTATAGAAAGTGAAAATGAGTTTTGATCTGTCGAGCTAAAATTAATTATTTTTGGTAATCATATAAATTTCCAAATAACTTTCCTCAAAATTCTGTCAAATGCTGTTTGCCATTTGAATCTTGCCAAGAAAAAAGAAAACTTTTCAGGAAGAAATGACCATACCTGAAGAAAGATGACTGAGAAAACTTCAGATTTGACTTTTAAAACTGATTTTTAGTGATCATTATAAAAAATATTGCAAAAGTGTTAGAACAAAGCAGTAAAATATAAACATTCAAAATGAAATAATTATCTATACCAGGGCTTCTTACACTTTTTTCAGTCGCGACCCCTTTTTATCACTGAGTTTTTTTCGTGACCTCAGGACCCCTAATATTTTCGAAAATTTTGTGGGACCCCATAAGCATTGCGCAAATCTGACACATGCATGAGTAAAACTATCAATTTTTTCACTTGTACTGTAATAAACTATTACAGTTTTAGGCCATTAGCTTTAATTTCTGATTTTAAGACATAGAATAATGTGATATTTTCATATACATTGTGTAAAAGTATTTGGTAATTATAAAATTATTATAATAAGTTAAAAAAATATCAAAACTGCTAAAATTTTTGGCGACCCCTTGCTGCAAGTCACGACTCACAGTTTAGGAAACTCTGATCTACTAAAAGCTATGCATATTATCTATCTGTTACCTTCTCCGTAACGGCGGGGAGTTGAGTTTCAAGAGAGGTACCTCTGAATTCCAAAACTTCATGGAAAGCCATTTCGACCATTCTCATCTTTATACAGAAATATTAATTAAAAACTCTGAAAATACTAATTTCTTTGCTCATTTTTCCAAATGGCAACAGTCACAGAAGAGAAAAATCTGCTTTATTTCGAAAAGTGTTGCCGCTGCTCACCTTCAAATTGTAGAGTTTGTTAATAAACAAATTTTAAATTTTACAAAATAAGAAATAAAAATAGCATTGCCAAACATTAAACATATTATTTATGATATGAAATTATATTCTGATGTTGAAGAAACCATGAGATTGCTTGTCAAAAAAATTTTTTTAATGTCAGTTTTTTTAAATAAACAGCTGCTGTTGGCAACTTTTTTGTTTCAGGTTAGGATAATTGACATGTTATGTTATTACACTTTATTCTATTCTATTATTGCTAATTCTTTTATTGATATTGAGAAAAAGTTATTACATTAAATTACAAAACTGAAGTCAAGGAAATTTTAGCAACATGATGCCAAGACTTATCATAGCCGCTATACAGCGCATGGTGTTACAATTTCATGTTGCTGGCCACAAGAGGGCACAGCATTTTTACTTTATGTTTATTATTTTTTGATTGAGATGTTGTGGCAATAATAGAAAAAAAATTATTAATGTTCTTCTGTAAGCAAATGAATTGTAAGTAGCTGTAAATAAAGTTTCTTCAAGGAATGGTTAGCAGAAAGGTTTTGTTATCAAATGTTGTTAGATGCTGAAGGTAAAAATAAGAAAATAATATTTAGAAACATAAAATATTGGTGAGAATCTGAAACTTATTTTTTCCCAGTGGCAGGGTCCAGCCATTTATAAGCACTGGCCGCTATCTCGGTTCCGTGGCAGTAGTCACTTTATAATGGAGACACCTAATAGGTGGGCCACCGTTGGCACGGACAAATTACATTCATGTCTTCTCCAGGATTCGAACCCTGGCCCTTCAGTGTAGTAGTTAGAGATATCAAGTACCTCTTCATCTGGACGTCAGACTTCGAAACATATTGTTAAATAAAATTACGCTGAATTTGAAAACAAATATCAACATCCGCAGCCTCAGAAAAATGTATTTAGGCTTAATTTGCATAAAATACTATTGAAACTACCACTGATCTTTCAGGTTTTACCACGTATATACATTTGTGTTATAGTTACCATTTACACATTTTCATGTATACCTTGGTTTGATTAAATTTGAAAATGTTATTTGTAATCCACAGTCTGCTAGTTTTTCTAATAAAAGTTGAACTCCAAAATTCCAAAAATTATGTAAATCTTTATTCATCAGATCAGTTAAAAAAGATAATTAAGTAATTACTTTTTTTTTTTTTTTTTTTGTTTGTGTGTGTGTGTGTGTGTTTTCTAATTATCTGCCCAGCACTCCCAAAAGGTTGGCAATCATTGGCAACTACTTTTCCACCAACCAAAGATGTGAAAAGCAACAGCCATTTTGAAAATTTATGACCCACTAAGGATTTCACAACACAGCAACCAATTTGTAAAACTAGAAATTAAAGAAAACATTTATAATAAAACAACTTTCTTGTGCTCATCTTCCCATGTACATAATGATCTGTTTTAGCATCAAAAAACGTCAGATAATTACAGAAGTCTGTGCATACTGTCATTTCCCCATGTACATGAATTAGTTTTCACTTTAAAATAAGAAAACACAACTGCACAAAATATTCCATTGGTGATCAGATTTGATATTTTACAAATTATAGCTTCATGGAATAAAAATTTTTATCAGCTGGCAAATTCTGCAGGCCCATTATGACTCTAATTTATGAAATAATTTATTTACAATGGAGGAGAAAGTACAAGCTCATGAAACAATCAGAACAAGTACTAACCAGAGAACATTGAATTAAAAAAAAAATGGTATCTGCATTCATGAACTGTGTACTTGCGCATACCTGGGTTCCTGTGCTGTCAAACATAGTGCATTGTCTGGTGAATTCCTTTGAGCAAATAATCAAAAAGTACCAAAATGTAAAAATTTTGCAGAAATAATGCCAGTTGTTGAATTCCTTTGAAGTGAATGTGACTGAATAAAGCCCCTAGATATTTAACAACCAGTGAAGAATTACATAATTTAAATAAATTGTTAAATATTGAGGTAAACAACTGATTAAATTTAAACATTTATAACTTAAAGTCGGTTTATTTTGAAATAATGCAAGTGCTTCAAACCTTGAGTTCCTGAAAATAACAATACTTTTGATTTGATAGAAATTATTTAAAATAGCTTTTCCTGGACTAACATAATTTTAGAGTTTAATTAGATTGAAATTAATTGCTAGCTTGAACTAACTGAAAATATAGTTAATATCAACACAACAATATATCTATGAAATAATTTTATTAAAATATTAAAATGTATCTTGTAAATATTTTACAGCCAATGAGCCTCTCTCATACTGTTTTATCAGAACGAGCTCTGTCGACATTAGAATATGCTGACAGCCGCATGGTTACCATAGGGCCATATCCTGAAGTCGAAAAAATTAATGCTAGTAATAGGTATGTATTAAATTTTTGATGTTTTGTGTTTCAGATTTAGAATATGTGGAAGATACAAAACTTACCTTTGCATTTATATAATATCTATTATATATATATCATATACATGATATTATATATATCATATATGCGAACGGGCTGGCTGCATGGCCGTTTTCGTGGTTTTCCCCATGTGTAATGTGTATATGAGCCAGTTTCCCTTAGAAAGTCCTCCACGAAGGCATCCCTCTCTTTAGGCAGATAGCCCTTGTGTGCTTTGCCATAATTAAATAATACAATCCAATTTATATAATATTATATATATATATATAATACGAGGTCAGCAATCTAATAGGAAGTACAGACATTATAACTGAAACAAAAACAAAATGATTAAAAAATATCAGAATAAAAATCCTATAATCAATTGTTGAAAATTCTTTGGTCTTTTTCAAGGAGCAGCTGAAGAATTTTCAGCAGAGCTACATTATTGAATTATATCTGGAGGATTATAAATTCTTGAAATAATTCAAAAGAAAGTGCCAAATAAAAATTAAAAATTCAGATTAATTTAAAATGAAAATTTCTAATTGAAAGCCATAAAAATTTTGCTTTAAAAGAATTCAATGAAGTACAAGATTTTTTTATTTTAATTTATTGGTCAAGATATCAATCTGTTCCAGCATGACCCTAAAACAAATAGGATTGTAAAAATAAACAACAGTAGGAAATAAAAATTCTTGAAACTAGAAACTTAAGCAACCATAGGGTAAATATAAAAATAGTAGGCTAATTAAATATTTTAAATAAATTTTGAACTAATGAAAATGCAGCACTGCTATTTAGAAAACATTGTAAATCAAAAGTAGTTATTGCATTTAAGAAAATGTACTTTAAAGTCAAAATATGGAAGAAACAAAATTAATTATTTTAGTAGGAAATTTACTTTAGACAAATAAGAAGCTGTAAAGGATTATTATGCACACAAAATGGGGGGGGCGGGAATCCTAACTGAGGGAAAAACTATACAGAGGCCTAAAATGGAAGCTATATTAAAAAAGATTTTGATTTGCATTGTTACAAAATGTCCAGCTTCTGCACGATAGCTTCTTTGCAGAAAATGTTTAGGGTTGCAAAAAAATAGCAAGGGAAGGCGGGATTGCCAGATTTGGTGCAAAACCGCCCATTTGCAACCAAATTCGCGATATGCCATAGACAGATGGAGAACATCCTGGAATTAATTTTTACTGGTTTAGCCCAGAATGTCCTTGAAGGCAGGCCAAAAGCTATATAAGCCCTGCCTGTGTGCGGAGTAGTAGTCTAGTGTTGAGTGTATCGTGAGTTGGTGCATTGTTGAGGCTATCGAGTGCATCACGAATTATAGAGCGGAGAGTCTCGAGAGTATGTTGAGTTCCAAGAACGACCGAACCGAGTCGGAAGTTGTACTCTAGTGCTTTGCCATGAACCTGTCTTCGCCATTATAGCCGATAACCTGGAGGCTGTGTTGCTGATATTTTCAGTGTGTTTGTCGTCATTTTTGGACAACTGTAAACATGTTTTTGGAGCTGTCCTGAGTAGTACTGGTTAATAAATTGTGTTTTTATTCTTTATCAAGTGTTGTCGTTAATCACTCCAAATCCACAAATCCATAAGAAATGCAATAGTATATTTCGTTTCTTACATTCATGCAGACATGTATGTATGTATTTCCCATTTGTAGATTTTGTAAGAAAAGTCGAATTTTTTTTATGTTGACGGTGAGGAAGTTCAGATTTCAGTTCCTTTCTAGTGATTAATTTTAGTAAGTACTTGAATATTAACATAACCACTGGCAACTTTTTACACATGAAAAATAATGATGCAAATCTTCATAAAAATTATTACATACATATTTTGCATTCTAATCAAGTATTTATTTTGAAAATCAATTCAATAAATCTACTTACAAGCTGGTTTTTATTTCTCTTGTTCTGGTAGAAGCTGTGGTGATTACTTTAACTACAGATTCAAAGCAGTTGTTCCCTATTGAGATTTTATGACAAGATGCTATATTCCTGCAGAAATTTTACTGCAGTTTCTTACATTGTTTGCAAATTCCACAAGCACATATTTTAAAATTGAGTTTAAGGTAAAAATATCACATTTTCGTTAATTAAAAATGTAAGAGCTTGAAATACAATATTAACATATAAAAGAATGTAACATACGGATATGAAGAATGCATTCAAAAATGGGGATGTTGCTCAACTGAAGGATTATTACGAACATGGTTGGTTGACGTATAGTTAGTTATGAACCTGGTCTCAAGATTTTGGTGCATTCTAAAAATTTGAAGACTTCTACAAAGGGGTTGCAATGATATGCAAGTACTTTTTAGTACTTGTTACGTATTATGGTTTTATTGCATTTTCATATTACAGTTTTATCAGAATAGTCACTAAAAGTGTTCATATGGAAGTTGCCAGCATGTTACACATGAAAGAATAATGTATTGTGAAAAATGTCTTTAGTTCCTTTATTCTGGAAACTACAGACATTGTGAATAAGTGAAAAAAATTTTAAATATGTAAGCAAGTATTTAATCCTTTTTTAATAATTTCTTTGTATTCATTTGAATAAATATTAGTATTTTTCTTTAATAATGTTATCATGTAGCCTTGTATGCAAATGATGCATTTGTCCATTTTAATGTCTTTAGACTGATGGTTATGACAGTTCTGATGTGGCTGTATAATCAATACATTGGTAACATGTCAACATTTTCTCATATGTCTGTTTGCAAGATGTGTTCCAGGTATTGCTCTTATATTCATATTTTAAATAATCCATCTTTTTGATTTTTTTAATATGCATACATGAATTTCTTTATTCTTTTGTGGATTTTTCAGTTTTTATATTTTTGCATGCTGTTTTGATAACAAACAGTTACTTAATTGTAAATCATGTTATTCTGTAAGTTATGACAGTTTTTGTAATTAATATTGTTTATTTTTAGCATTTTCTTATCCAGCATTTAATTGTATTTTTGTTAATAAACTTTTTATTTGATCCATGTATGGAATTCAAATCATTAAAAAAAATCATATGAAGAAACATTTGCAATCTGTTTTAATATATGAATACCTGAAATATATGTAGGTTGAAGTAATTTAATTCCTTGACGTATTGTTTGAAATTTTCCTTTTGTATAGCATTTTTCCTTTAAGTTTTAATTTTCTAATCTTTTTAATATTTGCATTTATTATTTCTTTATCTTTTTTTGCATAAAATTAATTTTTGCTTTCATTGTGCTTATATCTGTGCATATCTCATTCATATAAAGCTAATTAAAATTTTAAATTATGAAAATTCAATTGCAAACAAATAAAAGATAAATTATCGCTATGAACTAATTTGTAATATCATTCAAATTTAGAAAGCATAAGTAAATTAAGTGCAAACATCTTAACACATGACAAAAAAGAATTTAATAATTATTATAAAATAATCCTAAACACTTTAAAGAATTTTTTTAAGACTATTTTTTTTTTTTTTCATGTATTAAGATGCTTGCACTTAATTTACGTATGTTTTCTGAATTTGAGTGATGTTGCAAATTAGTTCACAGCAATAATTAATCATTTATTTGTTTACAATTGAATTTTCACAATTTAAAACTTTAATTAGCTTTATATGAATGAGATAATGTTTTTGCACTTGTTAAATTCAAATTTCATTCCTTGCAGCAATGGTGCAAGAGAATTATTTAACTTTATGTTAGTTTCCTATGAAACAATATTATATATATATATATATATATATTCACTTTTCCTTTTAATAGCTACATTCTTCTAATTTGCCATAGTTATGAGACCTTTCTCCAACTTGATTCATCTTTGAGATCCTAATCTATTGCTGGAATAGTATATATCAATTCTTTTCTAGTAGTAACCTTCTTGTTTTAATGTAAATAGTAGCTTTAAAAGGCAGACTCACAATAACTAATATTCAGGATAATTTTTCATTTTTCTGTAACTCCAAATGAGATCATTCTTGTACTTTCAATCCCCCCCCCCCCCGTCTCTTATAAGAATGGTTCAAATAACAAAAAAAAGTTTGTGTTATTTAATCGACACTGCGAGCAGACTGAGATTCATTATCATCAATATTAATTTCAAGTAACTTAATTTTTCAAAAGTATTCCAGAATGGCAATAATTTGATGTGATCTGTTGAGATTATACATTAGTTTGAAACTTAGTGAGTTTTACTCAGTGACGACTGAATGCAATTCCAGGGTATGACTTAACTTTTTTTTATGTGTTATGAGATTCTTTCCTGAAGATTAAAGATTTTAGTTTTTTATTGGGATATTAATATTTTATCACAATTCTTCAAAATGCTGCCAGATTCCTACATGCAGCAGCTAGCCCTTTCAACTTTCCCTGTCCCAGTGTAGTAATCTTTTTCCCTTCCACATACTTAATCCGTTACAAAACCTCGAGTTAAGTGAAATTTAGAGAATATGAAAAGTTATGACTAATATTATTCATGCAACACATATAAATACAGTAACGTTTTGTGAATGAATTATGTTTAATAAAATACTGGGGGGTAGCATTAATTAAAGTACACTCATAAATGATACAGTCAAAAGTCTTTAATCTGGTCATCCATAATCCTGAATGATCTATAATCCGGATCTCAAAGTTACAAACTTTCTGCGCATGCGTAAACGCACAATACCTTTACACATGTGCATAATACATGTATGCATGCGCGTTGAATGTATAACGGACGGTATAAACTAAGCTAAAGTTATCTAATTATCTATTTCAGTTAATGTTGCAGATTGCATTGTTCCTTATCTTCTAACTGGATCCGGCTTATTGTTTTTTGCAGACTGTTAGAGCAATTTTATAAAAGTAAGATTGAACTTTCGATTATGTCAAAAAGAATTTCCGATTCTGGAGCTGCCAAAGGATCTACAAAGCGAAAGCATGTTTCGATGTCCATCAAACAAAAAAAGTGGAATTGCTGCAAAAAATGGATAAAGGTGTATTCTTAGTTTCTCTAACCATTCCGAAATCTGTTTATCAATTTCACCCTGCTCTGCAGGGGGGGGCGCGCAATGTCGCGGCACGCATATATGTCAGCACAATCCTTATCTTCAGAGCAGATGTTTTTATTTTATTCGGCTTATAATTTCTTACTAAATGTAGTATTTCATCTTGATGTACTCCGTCTTTGATATGATTTAAATCAAATTCCTCATCACGAATATACATCAAATAGTTTTCTGGTTGCAATTTTCTAATTTCGACTGTGCGTAACGTGTGCTTTACGCATGCACGCGTTGAAAGAAATGTTTAATAAAGTAAACAAATATTCAGCTTTTTTTTTTTTTTTTTGTAAATTTTGATACCCTTTAGATCATAATTGCTTTTTATTTCATAAATTATGGTTTCATATTTTAAATTAATTTTATAATTTCTGCATGCCATCTTACCAGATTTAAACTGATGATCTGTAATCCGGAAAAACCGATAATCCGGAATCGCCAAAGTCGTGATGAGTCCGGATTAAAGACTTTTGACTGTACTGTATTCTGCAGTATATATATGTCGTGTACCATCATTCTCCTTCTCCTATGTGAAATTTAGGGTTTTTGAAGACTTTAACTTAGACCTCAAGATGTAACACAGTAAGAAAAAAAATTCATCTGCCTTACATAGTTTCATATAGAATTTTAGAAGATAATTAAGTAATAAAACCTTATTTTATTGCTTAATTATCCTTCAGTGTACTTTGCTAAGTAACTCAACCCAGTGTAATTGTTTAGTAACAATAACTTACTCTTTGTATTGATGAATGTTTTATTTTTGTATTTTTCACATTTCAGAATTGTCAAACAAGGTTTTAATAGAGCAAATAGGCCTAACTATGGAAGTGAATGTTCTAGTGGATATAATAATCCTCACCCTCGTCCAATAGCTAGGATTCCCGTATCTTCCTCCCTTCTGTTAGAAATGATTCATGCAGTGTATTTTGCTACGTAAGTTTCCTGTTCAAATTTATTATGTTTGTACATATTGAGGTGTAAACTGATATACATATTAAGGTATAACTATTCATGCAGTATAAACTACACCAATAAATTTCATGTTTAACATAAAATTTTTATGTTTACTTTCATATTCATATTTATGATATTTAAGGTTATTGTGACTTGCTCACTTCTAAGTAATTCAATATTAAACTCTTTTTTTTTTTTTTTTTTTTTTTTTTTTTCCCAACCAAATACCAGAAGTGCATATGTGGCATTGTATGCTTTCTGAGTTTCGCAAGGGTACACATACATTTGTTTTTGATCGCAACAGTTGCGACCAAAAACATTTGTAATGTTTATCCACATGCATTAGATGTTGGTAAATGCCAAATGGATGGTTTTCCAAGTTCAAATCCAGTAATTTTGATTTCTTTCTTTCAATGACCTTCCTAAACTATAATTAACTTTGTGATAATAATTCATTGGAATCGAACAGATATATAATAACAATAAAACATTTTAAATTCTGACATCTATTTTTGTAAAGTGTTCTTTCGAGTTTGCTTATTTGTTCGAAAAAAGCCAACTTTAAGGGAAAATGTGCTTTTTACGATGAAAATAAAAATTAGCATAAATCAATAAATTCAACACTTGTAATAGTTCTGACTGCTGACCATTCATGTTTATGAGTTTTTAAGTTTAATAAACCAGTTATGTATATATATATATATATATATATATATATATATTTCTTGCTGCTTATCGATGTAGTACCTTTTAGCTGTTTCAAGATAGATTTCCAGGGTGCGTCATGAGGAAATTGATCTACTATCGCACCTGAAATCAGTTTTATATAAAATTATGAAATCTAACTTTTTATATGGTCTCCTAATCTCTTACGTTCAGGATAATTTTATACTCAATATATTTTTAAAAAGTTTGACTTCCATGTGAAAAAAATTGACCAAGATATTAATTTCAAAATTTAGGATATTTGTTGTCATTTCCGTTTGCCTTGAAGGTTCAGTTGACAAATAAATTAGAATAATTTGAAGTTAATTTTCTTCTCAAATGCCATTCAGTGATATTCTTTTGTTATTTACTAGTGTGTAACTTTGCCTTGAATATTCAGTTAACGAATAAATTAGAATAATTTGAAGTTCATTTTCTCCTCAAATGCCATTTAGTGATATTCCTTTGTGATTTACTAGTGTGTAAATAACTCTCTTTAAGTTATAATTTTGTTACCACTGGTATGCCAAAATAATATTCAGGCAAGTAATTTAAAAGTTTTCAAATGCTAAAATGCATTAAATACTTCAGAATCATGATCTAATTAATCTTACAAAAAAATTATCTAACTATTTTTTTCAATGCAAATAATGTTACAGCATTATTTTCTAGAATACGAATTCTATAAGTTTTTACAAGTAAAATATCCCCCCCCCTTTTTTTTTTTTTTTTTTTTTTTGAAAAAATTAATATTGATGACAGTCTGTATACAAATGAAATACTTTTCATGAAAATCTGTATACAAATACATTTAATCAATTAACATCAAAAACCTCTTTCTAAACAGGTATTGCATTTTTATGTATGTACAAGTGCAAACAGTTCATTCTTCACTTTGTATATAGTCCCTAAATATGATCTCTGATTTTAAAATATGACTTTCAATTTTTGTTGTTTTATAAAAAAAAAAAAATGTAAAATTTTCCTAAATATAAGTATAGAAACTGTGGTAGCGTATAAAAAGTCAGATTTTGTAATTTGCATTAAATTGAATTTATTTTATTTTGTTTTATTACTTTATTTATTTAAATTTTTAAAATTGACAAAACATGAAAATTTATGTCACTTAAATCACTTTCGTAACTGGAAGTTTATGTCTACAACGCCAGCAGTTTTATAAATAAAATCTTATATGGATGATACAGCTGTCTTTTGCAAATTATGAGCCCTAATTTGAAATGTAGCAAAAAGTATCACAAAGAATAAGAATGAAAAATATGGTGCTAAGTATAACTTCAATACATTCTCCTGCATATAAAAGCCACATTCTTAGTTTTCACTCCAGTTAAAAAAAAATTTCCCTGAAGATAAGCCGTACATAGCCCATCTACATTATTTTTTAAACCCAAAAGGCTATTAAATTCGTTTTGGTATTTTGCATTGAAAAGTTTAAATGTCCATTTTACTTTTAAAATTATTGCCAGCATATATTATCGCCCTATGTTATATTTATGTAAATTAAGTAATGAAGAATCTGCATAATTATATGTTTCTCACATTTCACATTACAATAAAACGGTTATGTATATAATTATATTTCTTGCTGCTTATCAATGATCAAATTTTGAACCTAGAGCCATCAAATTTTGAATAATGTAATCCTCCAATGAATATAACCATCTGGAAGCCCTAATTTGGAATTTGTTTTATTTTTGATTTCATATTGTGTAACACATATTGTGTAATTTTTGAGTAACAAACTCAGTGATTTCAAAGCAAGCAATAGCAACACTATACAGGGGGGGGGAATTTATCTCCAGTGTGCGAGACCGTGCATAGGAAATTATAAAAATATGCTCATGTTAAAATTATTTTGCGATATTGCTGTTGAATTGAATATTATGGTTTAAGTGCAAAGAATATGATATTTAATAAATAAAGGTAACCCACAAAACGTTAAAAAAAAAGCCCCTTTCAGATTTCTTTTTTTTTTTTTTTTTTTCCCCCTAGCCCAGAAGTTCTGTTAATTTTGTTTTGCCATTTTGTGTCGATTCACTTTAAACGACGAATTACTTTTGAAATCGTTGCCACCAAATATTATCGCACTGTGTAGTATTTAAAGAAATTAAATAATGAAGAATCTGCATAAATGTATGTATGTTTCTCGCATTGTGATAAAACAACAGTACATAGAGCCATCGAATTTTGAATAACGTAATCTTCCCCTGAATATGGGCATTTGGGAGCCCTAATTTGGAATTTTTTGTATTATCGATTTCATATTTTGTAACACTTTAACAAATTTTTAATTAAAAGAAATCAATGATTTCAAAATGAGCAATGACAACACTGTACAGAAAAAAAAAAAAAAAAAAAAAATTATCTCCAGCACCTGAGACTGTGTATCAGAAATTCTAAATATATGCTCATTTTAAAATTACTTTGCGATATTGCTGTTGAATTGAATTTTATGTTTTAAGTGCAAAGAACATGATATTTAATAAATAAAAGTAATATGCAAAGGGTTAAAAAAAGTCCCTTTGTGCGTAATGTAAAATCTGAAAGCTTTCAGATTTTTTTTATATTATTACTCAAAAGGAAAATGTTTCCATTTTTTAGCACTTCTTATTCACTATTGAAGTTTCATTTATATATATAAAGTCCTGTGAAAAAAGTGCAGATCTCAATAGCAAAGAACAGCAAATATTTCTAATTTGGTGAGATTGCTTTGCATAATCTTATGTCAAGTTTGAATTTTATGCTGACTTGGTTGTTGAAATTTTTTAACAATAGTGCATTGCCAAACCCAGTGGAATAAAAAATCTTAATGGTTTGAGAATATATCTAAATAAATATATACTTTTAAGATGATACGAAAATTTGTACGGGTTATAAAATTTTTAAAAAATTCCATAAAAATTAATTGTTTATTAAACTGGTGAGAAAAATTAATTTTTCTTGGACTTCAGTTTATACAAAAAGAAAACAAAGATGATGAAATATTATTAAATATGAACTAAATTTTGTTAAAACTGCAGAATAAAATTTAATTTTTTTTTTTTTTTTTTTTTTTTTTAAATCACTTGTTAGGTCTTTACGAAATTTGATGGTTGACTTAATTGTAGAAGCAAAATGAAACTACGAAAAAAGATTGGTATATCATTTCAAGAAAGTCCTATTTTATTTTATAAGCATATCGAGAACCATGCAGTTTATAGACCTGGTAAATTTCTTCTTTTCCAAAGAAAGTTAAAGGAAAATTTGCTTGTCAATTACTTTCCTATGAAGGGAGTATTGAACTATCCTCTTTTAGGGAAGGAGTGAGGAGCTTAATGTATGTGATATTTATGTACATGACTAGCTCTGAAGTTTTGAGATGGGCAGACAATATGTCCTAAAAAACATTTCATTTGTCTGCAGACAATAATTAGTAACAACAATTACAATTTATCCATCATGCAATAAATATAGGTAGAAAAAAAAGGAGCTGAAGTGAGAGCATTATAATTTTCTGTGACTTAAGCATTATGGATTATGGATTAACAAAGCATTATGGATGTAAAATTCCGTATAGAACATTGGCTTTCATATTCATTGCATACAATTTTTTGATTTTCCAGCATGTTAATAATGTAAAGTATAAATCTTTGAGATGACCTCAAACTAACAGTGGTAAAAAGATAATGTGCAATGAAAACAGTAATGTATGCCATTTTCTCCAGAAGTACATTAATGCTCAAAGCTATCATGTTAGAGGGGAAGAAGATAGTTACAGTAACTGATATACCAACCTCCTTCCAGCTATTTTATAAAAAGTGAGTGTCAAGGGACTTGTGCTTTGCCATGGTAATCCATGTTCTCAGTCAGCAAGATTATCAGCAGAATTTCTTGACCAAAAACACATCAAACCAGAAGAACATCCATACTGTTCTCCTGATCTTGCTATAAAGTATGACTTTTGGCTGTTTTTTTATCTGAAACAAAATTTACGTGGCTCTCATTTCCATTCTGAAGATGAGACCATAAGAGCATATTTTTCATCAATTCCAAGAAGTGAATAGCTTGAGACATTTAATCTTTGGGAAATATGCTTATAAAAGTGAATTGATGTTGGAGAAAAACTGCTTTGAACACACCTAAAATTTAGTTAAAATTTGTAGTATTTAGCTCTTTCTCAAAAGTTTGAGTGGCCATCATATTAGTTGCTTCTGAGAACATTGGTTGGTACCAAAGAACTGAGGGGAGAGCAATTTGTATGTTACAGATTTGGGCTTGCAATCTGTATGTATACTTTATTTTGTAAAACATCAAAGAGACTTTGCAAAGTGTATCGCATGTAAAAAGGCACAAAATAAACTGTCTTAATAAGTAAACACAATTTTATTAATCGGATTGCAGGTTTGAAAAGTATTCCTGTTTATATAATGCTACATCGAGAAAACATTAAAAGTCAGATGCTTCTATTTAACTTGGGAAATTCATAACAAATGACAAAATATTAACCGTTTGACTGCTACACGGCACAAAAGCGCTGCATTCATTTGTCTTGAACCGCGATTGCGCTGCGAGTTTCAGTGTGTCTTTGTTGCTCCGTGGGTGTGAACGTACGTAGTCTGACCTTACGCATACTTTGTAACACGAGTGCATTCTAAAATAACTAACTGCTTCGTGGTTTTCGAGACAAATGAACGCAGCGCTTTTGCGCCACGTAGCAGTCAAATGGTTAAGAACGTGATTTGATGTATGATTTCTGCCCACCCCCCAGTATGCATACTATGGAACATAAAATTAAGTCAAATCTTTTTAAATTTTTCTGTAATTAAAAAAGAAAATATTAAATTCGAGGATAATGTTGATTGTTAAATAAATTATTCTTAATATCAAATTGAAAGCTGCATGGGTGTTTTCCCCCATGTGTAACGTGCCAGTTTCCCTTAGAAAGTCCTCCACAAAGGCATCCCTCCCCTTAGGCAGATAGCCCTAGTGTGCTTTGCCATAATTAAATTAAATAAACCAAAAACCAAATTGAAAGAAAATTTATAACAAATTATTTTTGAAAACAAATTTTTTTAATTTAATATTTGTTGGATTAGTTTAATAAATATTTTTCTATCTTTATTAACAAATTCTCATTTAGAAGGTTGAAATTGTAAGAGATTTGATTGTATATTTAGGTTTCATATTAAAAAAGGGGGAAATTTCTATTAATTTTCTTATAAGAAACATTTGATGTTATTTTTAGTAGATTTTGAAATTCTGTTATTCTATTATTCTAATAAAAATTTATATGTAATGAGTTTCTGTATAAAGTTTTTTTATTTCTGCTACAATAGTTTTATTTGGTTTCAGATTCAATGGTTTAGCCTCTATAGGTTTGCAGTCATTGGATGAACTTCACAGCAGAGCCATGCATGAAATGTTATCAGATGTATTATTGGTAATTAAATTATCTGTAGTACATAAATTTTGGGTAATAAATTGATGATTCTGAACACAAAAGGTGAAAGATTTTTATATGTATTTTGATAAAATTTTATTTACTTAAAATTAATTAGTTTTTGTTCCTGGCAGCCAAATGCATTACTTGCCATATTTTGCATATATAACTTAAATGCGAGTTAATTTTACTTAAAAACTTTCTGCAAATTTACATTTTAAGCAGATAGCTCTTGAGTGATTTTCTATAACTAATTAATTAGTTTAACTAATTATCTGAAAATTTCAATATTTTAAAGCAAGATTAATTTATGCAAGATTTGTATTGTTTAATGTATTAGATTACTTCAAAAGCAATTTCTCACAGTTTCAATAAAGTATGTATTAGTTATGTTGAGAGAGAGAGAGAGTTTATATCTAAGGAACTAAGATTCTTGAGCTATCTTTACTGCATTGCACTTATAGCCAGAAAATAAAAATATGTGAAAATCTCTCGTGGTTTTTAGTTAATGTAGCCAATACAGCCTGGATATTAATTAATGGGGATACATTAGTTAATAAGCCAATAAAATCCATCAGTATGTAGTTTAAGTAATCTGTCTGATTATTTTAGTTAACTACTGAATCCTACATCCCTCCAAAAAGTAATGAAATTTCACAATGTGTTAATACATCAAAGTGGCTTCTCCTATGAAATAGTTCTACAAAACCAAAACAAACTCTTACTTAATAATTTTGTTGTATATCATTTTGAAAATGTGCAAGTTGTCTTTTTTGATGCTCTTGATGATTTTAAAACTGTTGTCTGTTTTATTACTTGTAAAAATATTTTCCTTATAATAAATCTTCCTATTTAAGAGTATTATAACAAACCTATGGCTTCTGAAGAACTTCATAATATATATCCTCTATATTTTCTTCTGAATCAAAAACCCGCCAGCTCTAATTCATATGAAATTTCAAAATCTTTCTTGGCTGCTGTAGGATTCACATCAAATTAAAATGATGTCAGTGTTATGGCGTTTTCAGGTTTCTTTTTGTATGTTTGTGCAAGTACACAAAAAGTCTGTATGCATAAAACTCAACTTTTATTGATAATATTGCATGAAGACTTTTTTCTTTTACAGATATAAAATTTGGTTATTTTTTATTATAATAATCTTTGACAATTATAGAACTTTATGTATTTTGACATACAATGTATAAATATCTATATACTGTGCTTGTAATTTTTGTTTATTGATGCTGCAGTTCTATTCAAATTATGTAATTTTTATTTACTACTGAAATCTGTGTAACTATTTAGTTATCTTACTTTTTTTGTAACAATATCTCATGTGTTCCCACAGGTAACTAATGCGATTCGTAATTCCTTAAAAGTCAATCCCTCAGGACAACCTTGTGATGGACCCATGGGTATTAGCGTAGCTTTATCTCCTACTGCAGTTGTTAGTACTGTTTCACGAGCCATCACTAATGCATCTTTTAGAGCAAAGAAACTACCAGGTATTTCATTATTTTTCCTTTCTTAAATGATTAATTATTACTGTAATAAATACAGCCTCATAATCTCAACGTTTTTTTACTTTTTTCCATTTTTTATTACTATTCTATCTTTAGTTTTACCCAAATAGTGTTACCTATGACTGTATGTATTTTACAGATGATATTCCTATTCAAGAAAATGAAAGTGGTGAAACTCATCAATTATCATCCATCAATGAAGAATGTGAAGAGGGAGAAAACCAACCTGCCAATCACCGTAATCGAAAACAAGGAAGCAATAATTCCTCATTTGCTTCAGCGATAACAAAAGTAGGTGTTTTACAACTTAGAAAAGGAAAGGACAAAAAGAAAGATAAGGAAGCTGTAAATGGTGATACAGTAGATTATAACAAAGGTAATGGTAAAATAAATGAAACTTCGTCTGTGAGTAATGATGAAGATAGAGTTGAAGTATGTTTCTCCAATACTGATCAGATGTCTTTGCATAACTCCTATTCATGCAGAACTGATTTACCTAAAAGCCCAGTAGGAAACAGCATTCCAAATGCAGATAATTTTGATTTCAAAGACACTTTAAATAATGCCAAATATGTCAATCATTCAAATCAGGGGTCAGAAGTAGTGATCACAAATGATGGAACCTGCATCTTGAAATCTATTTTGCATAAATCAGAGTCTGCTAATGGTCTTCAGAATTCCTCATTGCAAACTGCTGTTTAGAATTCTTTTCTTTTAAAATGTGTGAAGGATTTAGATTCAGCTTTTACTGAATTTTTAGTTTATTTGTATATAAAAGTACATATGTAAAAATGCTCTGAGTGTCAAATAACCTCATAATCTCTTTTCTGCACCCTTGGGAAGTGAGATATAATAATGAAAAACTATCAACTTCATTTTTTCTTTGTCAGTATATAATTGTATATAAGTTGTGCATTCTTTAAAATGTGGTGTTAAAATGGTGTATATTTGCTTTGCTCATTTTATCATATTTCTGATAGTATATAAACTTTAGTATAAGGTTCTATTCTAATCTGATTGATAAAAAAAGTTGGTTTTAATTTTTATACTCATGTTATAACTTATGACTACTGTGAAATATCTGTGTATATCTTGTGTACCTGGAGTGCAGGTCTTTTGATCTGCAAAGATGTGATCATTTCTTAATTTATTACAAAGGGAAAATTATTTGCCAAAACAGTGTTCCATAATTGCTTGTTATTTTTATGCATAAAGATTGATTTCAAATTTTTACTTTCTCCTCAAATAATAATTTATATATACTCAATTCTTATTTTAGCTTACTGCCTTTTCTTCTTTTTAATATGCATCTCATTTTAATGTTATTTGTGATACTTATTAAACACATCCATATAGAGTAATAAAATATTTATCTCTACATAGTTACTTTTGAATAGGCCATGAGAATTCTGTCCAGTGTGTTTATAGTTTGTTTAAAGTACAATTTAAAAAGAACTTATAAATTAATGAAATTGTTTTTTTAGTTGTATGACATCTTTCTTTCCTTCTCTCAAGATTTATGGAAGTGAGCTATCTCAGTTTTTGTTTGAGGGTTTGATATTGAATTTTGATATTTTTTATTATTTGCTTTAAAATATGGGAAATTCTCTTACTTATCATTTCTAACATAACTCATATAAATTAGTTTTGGTTCGTCAATGTATGATCTAATTAATCACTTTATCTGTAATTTAAATAGTGATAAAAATGGGATCATGATCTATAAACTCATACTAGTCTTCCTTTTGAAGGAAGTTTTCATAAAAGAAAATAAGTGTTGGTGAAAAGAATAATTTTTGCATGATTTAAATGTTCTGAAACCCAACAATTTTGGTCCAAATCTTCTTTTATTATCTTTTACGTATTTTATAACACGTTAACAACAAATTGAGGCAATTCATAAATTGTTACTGAAAGTCTCATTTTGACTTTTATGTTCATCATATTATGTAACAACTTTTGCTAATATACTTTAAGTACATTTACATTATTTTGAAGTATGATGAACTTTCATTTTGGCCAAATCACTTTGGTTTTCATTAGGACTTATAATGCAAAGTTGTTGCGTATCTTTTCATGTAAGTTACTTATAATTTTATAAATTTTATACTTTTTAACATTTTCATTTCAATTTCTTGCTATTATTTCCATGTTTATTTTTCTTTCTCTCCCCCTTTTTATGATTTTGTTCTATGGTTTATATAAATTCAACCTAGTTTATATTTCATTTTTGTAATAATAATTAGCTTTTCGATAATTTGTACTGAATAAAGTTGTACACAGCCAAACGTTGTCGATATTTTGTTATGCGATAAAGTGAAAGCTTTTTAATTTCAGTATTATTTGATTCATTATGTGATAGTATATTGATTGCTTTGCCTGTTTTTTTTTATGTTGTTTGTATTATTATTGAATCATAAGAAGCATATATGTATATTAGCAGTTTATATATATATACATTAATGTCAGCAGTGGACTGCAAACTGAATAACAAAAATTTAAATTTAAATTCCTGCAACAAAAATTTTTGTTTACTTGGGAAAAAAAAAAAAAGTATTTTTTGAATTTGTAAAAATGGAGTCATATTAGCTTAATATTTATAAATGCTATTAAAAATAAATCATGTCCATTTATGAGCCTATGATTATTTATAAATACTATAAAAATAAATCATATCCATTTATGAACCTATGATTATTTATAAATACTATTAAAAATAAATCATACCCATTTATGAATGGTTAGAAATAAATGATATTCTATAAATTACTTATACTATAGCCCCTTGTATGATGCGTATCAAAACACAAGTATTGTACTGTTTAATGTGTTATGTTATCAAAATTTGCTCATTTTTGCAATATTTTGGTGCCTTTAAAAGTAAACTTCCTTATTCAGACTCTCTTTTTTTTTAAATTTAATTTCATAGCATTAAATGCAATATTTTCCATAGTCACAGAATGTGCCTCATTTCTGAACAAAGCTGATCTGTTAAAGTGAATTAATTGTGAGAGGTGTTATCTGAAAATTAATTTCCAACTAAAATAGATAAGGTTATGGAAATATGGGACAGTTAATTAAAATTATTTAAATATAAATTTATTATATTTAAATATAAAATTTATATAATATATTTTTTGGAAAAAAGACCATAATGCAGCCAAAATTATGTTGAGATTTTGTATGTTATTTTCCCCCCACTTGTTACGTTTGAGAAATGCTTGTTATTGGCATATCCCTAGCAATACAGTAAATGAATTCAATTGAAACTTCCAAATTAATGTTGTAATCATGAACATTTCTTTATGTCTAAGGCTGTATAATTTTGGCTAACAAGAAAGTAATCTTTTAAAGTTCTGTTATTTAGCATATAAAAAGCAAGCAGAGAATTATTTCCTACAAATAAACATTTCATAAGCTTCTGTACAAAAGCTTGCTTATTTCAGAGCTTAAGTTATAAAGTGTTTAATTTGTTATTTTGTCTGTTAGTAGAGCTTACATGTTTTCTTATTTTATTAAAATATTTATTTTTCATTAGTAATTATAATAGTGTTGTTTATATATATATTGTATGTTATGCTTTAAAAATGTTATGAAGAATATTTTGAATTTCTATTTTTTATTATCATGACAATATAAATCATCCTTAGAACTGTTTCTTTTCTCCAAAATATTTATTTGTTGTGCTCTTAATATTTTGTATGTGTATAGCCATCTGCTGTTTCAATGGTTAGTGGAATTCTTTAGATTTTGTCTTCTAAATATATAAAACCTCTCCAAGTGTAATAATTTAACTAGTGCCTTCTGTGTATACCAGTACACATTTTCCTCACCAGAAAATATGTAAATGTTACTAGAAATTTGATATGTTCAGTGTATAATAGGATAGGAAAATAAACTGCATTTCATGATGTAAAGTACTTCTTTATCAGAATGTTAAATTTTCTTATACAGTGTCCAAGTTTTTGCCCCGTATTAAAAAAAAAAAAAAAAAAAAAAAAAAAAAAAAAAAAATTAGTTTAAGTGTTGTTGATTTAAAATGCAAACTAATTTCGTATTTCTACTTTTCTCTATGATAAAAGGAATAATATAATTCAAATTTTCATAATGCTGTACAATTCAAAACAAATTTTGATCTAAATATATGTTATGCTGTTTCAGCAGTATTGCTAGCAATACTGTAGTGAAGTTGTGTTTTATTGTACAAACTCAGAAGTTTTGCATTTTAAAATTTTTATCAGAACTAAAATATCTGGCTGTATGTGTGATATTATGAGTAATATTGATTTATTTCTTAAAATAAGAACCAAAAGAATTGTTGGATTGTGATAAAGAAATAAAATGGCGTTTAAAATGAGAGGGAACCTAAAGTGGAGCCGTTCAGAAAACCATTTCAAATAGGATTGATAAAAAAATAAATGTAACTTTTTTAAATGCATGTGAACTTTAATTTGTTGTTTTGCTGCAATTGTTTTATCAAATTCAATGTTTTAATTTAAATATATGTGTTTTATAATGAAATATCTATTTATTTTAAAATACTGAGTATTCGTTTTTCATCTTTGCATACTTACCCTAGAGTAAAAGTGCATCCACTTTCTTCCCTTGTCTGGTGTTAATGATTTTTATTGTGTACTCTATGTTGAATTAATTATAAATAAATCTATGGCTTTTTTATTCATACGAAATTATGCAGTGTATTTCATAACGTTCCAGAAAGTGCTGAATTCTGAAGAGTAGTAAGCTACTAATCGGTATTAAAAAAAACTTTAGATTTCATTTTAATAAAACCGAACCATTTTAAGCTTTAATTATTTGTATTCTGTAAGCAAGGAATTGAGTTTATAAGGCATTTCTCCCGCCATCCTAGCATGCCTTCACGGTTTAGTGGTTCTGCACACTGGGCCGCTATTCCAGAGGTCCGTGGTTCTATTCCTGGTAAAGGTGGTTGCTAATTTTCATCTCTCCTGCTTTTCCAAAAAATCCTAATGTCTCTACAGTGGCACCCGAATTAAAAGGGTGTTGGATGATGATTCTCCTCACCCAGGATTTGACGATTGGGTCCCCTTTAAAAGTCAGTTGCCCTTTAAAAGGGGGAGTATATAAGGTATTTCTCCCGCCTTCCTAGTGTGCCTTCGGGGTGTAGTGATTCTACACACTGGGCCGGTATTCCAGAGGTCCATGGTTCGATTCCCACCAAAGGCAGTTGCTAATTTTTCATCTCTTCGGCTTTTCCAAAAAATCCTAATGTCTCTACAAGTTAACCAAACAAGAATAAAACAATTAAGTCAGCTTGTGAAAAATTTTATTCTTAAAAAAAAAAAAAAAAAAAAAAAAAAATTCATATAGCTATATTATTTTATCATTACACCTTTGTGTTTTGCATCATTAAAATTGTCAAGACTGTAATGCTAATACTGAATATCTGCTAGCAATTTTTCGAGGGAAAATGCATAATTTTTATCCTTTCTGTTAAAAACAACTTTCTGTAAAACATATTACTTTAAAAAGTAATTTATTGTGCATTCAAGTATAAAATTTATGTTTTACAAGTACTGAAATAAGTAAACTGTGAATATTTGCTTCATGTAATTTTCAAGTACATTTTAGGACTTCATACAAAAGTATTTAAAGAAATAAGTTATGAGGGAGCTTTGAAAAGTAATGCAAACATTCTCTGGGAAGTAACAGACTAAGCAAAACATATACACAATAAAACTAATATTTTAACTATTTTTTAAAGTAAGAAGTGAGGTGCTTTAAATATTTCTTCTATGGTAATGAGCATAACAGTATACCTCATGTATGAAGCTCATTTCTTGGTTGTTCTGCCAATTGTAAATGATTAATCAGTCAAACTTCTTTAGCTGAATCTAAAAATGCATCATCTTAAGATTTTGCTAGAAGCTGAAGAAATTTTACATTTTAGGGTGGGATAGATTTGTTTGAGTTTACCCCATTTAAATATACTAAAAAAAAAATTCACTGATAATTATTGTTTAGTTGTAGATGATGTTAACAAATGCATTTTGCTCCATAATTCAGACTTCATCTGCGAAGTCAAAAGCTAATTCAGCAGAACTTGTCTATAGCATAAAGTCAGATTAGCCTTCTGCTCTGAAGCTTGTTGCTCACAAACCTTGGGGGGGGGGGGAGAAAGAAAATATATTATGCATCACTTCTCAATCCACCCTTTTATTACCCTGTGCATGGTGCATGGAGATTTATCTAAGAAAGCATTTATATAAAGCTAACTTATTGCTTAAGAATTGTTATGAATACTGAAAGTTTTAAAAAGTGTCTCCATATGCTGATAATAATGCATTTGATTATTTCATAATATGATAGTTTCACCATCAGTTGAAATTTAAATGCTCACTGCAAAAATTTTATATTGCTTAAATGCAATTTAAATTAAAAATATGCCTTTCTTATTGGAGTCTGAAGAATTTTATGAATTTGAATAGTTTAAATTAAATATATTTTTTTTAATTTTACATTAATGTACAGAATATGTAACTGTTGAATATTACAAGAAGTAGCATAAAAATGCATATTTTGCTGTTATACAATTTTAAAAAGATTGGAAAATTGGTAAAAAAAAGGATAAAAATTGATTTCTGTTCTTCAAATGTAAGTATATTTTGTGCTGCTTGATTTTCAAAAATGTCAGACTTTTAAGAATTTCTCATGAAGTTATTTTCCACAGCATTTTTATTTCTCATTTTTAGCCAGTTGCATGCTTTATAGTACATTTATTACAAAATCTGCATGTGTAATATTAAATTTACTATGAAATTAGAATTTTGTATTATAAATTTAAATTTGTATTAATTTATAGCTGATGGCATATTTTTTAATAAATGAAAATAATGAATTATTCTATCTTTAAATATTATGGTCATATTTAACAAATACATATTTCATATTTCAAAATGCAAAATTATCAGATTTTCAAAGTAATACTGTGTAGTTGTGTTAAGTATGTTGAATACGAAATATATTTGAGCACAAAAGTCATATCATATGGAACATTTGTCATCACATCAAATTTATAGAACGTCACATTTTTTTGTTTCTTAAATATTTGATACAATACAGTCTAGATTACCACAGATAATGTACACTGTAGCTGCTTTAAATAACTGGAAATCCATTAAAGCAGACATATACAAGTCCTATTTTGAAATATGTAAAATCCTCATTATTGAAAGTTCTGCTGTTCATTTAGGGCTAAAAAAATAAAAAATAAAAAAAAAAAGATAGCTCAGAATTCCCCTTACTTATTTCAGAAAATTTCATTTTTAAAAACTCGTAGATCAATTTACATTTTTTTGTTTCTTTTGATTAAAAATACTAACCTATTTTTTTCAAAATGTTGTATAAAAATTGGATATAAATGTATATTTCTAATTACAAAAGTGTTTTATATATTGCATATATTTAATATTTGAACTTTTTTTAATTTAAAAAAATAAATCAGTTTTGTGAAAAATTGAAACCCTTATGTATCTTCCCTAAATTTCTAGACTCATATTTAGAAAATTATTGCGTTTGCTATAAAAAAATTGACGAAGATATATGAAATATATAGTTTTAAAGTTGGATATCATATTCAGGGGCTGTACACAAATTGAAGAATAAAAGATTTGCATTTGTCTGCACTGAAATTGAAATTGTAGTTAAGAAAGGATTTCTGATGTTAGCAGATCGAGTCATAAGCTTTCTATAAATATTATCATGAAAAGTATTCATCAGTGTAATTATTTTTGTATAAGATCTTATTCATGGATCTTAGAGAATTATTATTCTTGAAAATACTAGCAGACTTCAGTATTGCCAACTAGGAATTAAAAATATTTCTAGTTTAATGAATTTTTATATTAGGATTCTTTTGTAATATAAGTGGGAGAATATTAATAGTGCATTTCTGATGTTTCAAAGTTTGTAAATTGTTTGTGTGGAAATTTTTTTAGAATTATATGTCTAATAATTAAAGAATATTAGATACTAGTAAATAACAAAAGAATATTACTGAGCGGCATTTAAAGGGAAAAAATCAACTTTGAATTATTTTAATTTATTTTTTAACTGACTCTCAAGGTAAGTTGTATCAAAAATCGCAAATTTTGAAATTAAATATCTTTTCTAGTTTTTGTCACGTTTGAGTCACATTTTTTGTTTTATTTTTTATGATGAGTATAAGATTTTTCTAAATGTTATTTCATAGGTACTGGGAAAGTGTATAAAAAAATTTAATTTCATTTTTTAATATAAAAATATGAAAGCATGAATCTTCTCTATTTAAAACGTTTTTTATTAATGGGAATACATGTCTGTGCCCAACAGCTGCAAATAAAGGCTGAGGATTTTTGTGGGCAAGATGTATAATAAAAAATTTGTATTATGTAAAATTGAAACCTGTTTATCTTCAACTGGTAATTAATATTTCCATGTCTGTTCATGTAATTTTCTCTCTCCATATCCCTCTTGTCTGTCCTAACATATGTGAACTTTTTTTTTTTTTTTTTTACATTGCAGTTAGAATTTCTGTGTGTTTTTTAATATGACGATTAAAATTTCCATGGTCTTTCCTTTTTATAATTTTCTCTTTTGCCATATCCTTCATGTCTGCATCTGCCCTAACATATGTGAACATATTGCTTTGTTTTATGATATAATGGCTTACCTGTAAATTTAATAATAAATTTTCTCACATTAATTTGCTTAGAGTGTGATTATACTTTATAACTATTAATGGAATCCTGCGGTCTAAATCTATTCATATATTTTAACATAAACTAAATGTTCATGTCCTCCTTTACTTTGTTTTGAATTTTAAAACTCGTGTTCATATGCCTTAACCGTAAATACTTGTGATTGTCAGATATCAAGTGAATAGTTTAGAATTACATAAACATTATATTAATGTGTCATATGAAAGTGCAAATCTGTGTAATAAAATTATAAATATGTTTCAAAATTTTGTTGTAAAAATCTCTAGTTCTGTGAAAGTTCTGGAATTGTACAAGTGTTCTATATATTCGTTGATTGTATAGAAACAATAATTCTGAGAGATTTTAATTTGTTATAATTTATAAAAATTCTAGATAAAGATTATTTCAATATTATTTTGTTTGTTCTCATTATATAAGTTTGAAATACATTCTGATTTTAAGGTTTCATAGAAAAGGCATTGAAAATATCTGTACAGTTTTGGTGGCATTTAGTAATAATTCTTAATTTATTTATTTAATTTTCTCCATCTGTATAGAGTTTAAAATTTATTTTAAAAACATGTAAAATATTTCCTGAGAATTGGAATTTCAATATATTTTTATTTCTTGCTTCAAAGAGTTTAAAGATTTCAAAAGAACATAAAATTTTCTTAAATTTATTTTATTAAATGCAGTAAATTCAAAAGGAAAAAAGTGCATTAAATTACGGGATTTTTTTTTTTTTTTTTTTTTTTTTTTTTTGTGTGTGTGTGTGTGTGTGTGTGTGTGTGTGTATTACATGCAAAAATGACTTTCAGAGCCTACTCCAAACAGAGGTTGGACTTCTATTTTTCACCCCAGTTTTGAAGAAGAGCAACCCGGAGGAGTGTCCAGTGGTCTCCCACCCCTCTCCCCTGCCACCAAACCACACGAGAGGGCTCTCATCTCCTCCTACATTAAGAGTCGCACAG